CGCAGAACCTGACCCCGCCCTGGGAGGCTGTGGGTCCCCACGGCCCCGCCTGGGAGGCACGGCCGCTGGTCAGCAAGTGTGACGCTTCCCTCCGCACTTAGGGCCGGGAGCTCAGCTCTCCGGCGGGATGGTGTCCGCGCTGGGGGCTGCGCGGGTTAAGTGCATGTGCGTGGCCCAGCCATGCCCATATGCTGCTCTCCTAACGTAGCCACCCGGTGGATCTGCCCCCCCTCTCGGCGTGGGGAGACCCCTGTGACGGGGTCTGAGCCCAAGCAAGTGTGACGCTTCCCTCCGCACTTAGGGCCGGGAGCTCAGCTCTCCGGCGGGATGGTGTCCGCGCTGGGGGCTGCGCGGGTTAAGTGCATGTGCGTGGCCCAGCCATGCCCATATGCTGCTCTCCTAACGTAGCCACCCGGTGGATCTGCCCCCCCTCTCGGCGTGGGGAGACCCCTGTGACGGGGTCTGAGCCCAGCGCAGGGTCCTGCTCTGCTCTCCATTAGCTTCTCCTCCCGCTCAGCCCTGCTGGAAGCCAGGCTGGAGGGGCAGAGGTGCGGGGAACCCCGCCACGCCAATGCCTGGGGAAGCAACGCGCTGCCCAAAGATGGAGCCTGGGCCACTTACTCCCCAAACGACTTCCAGTGCTCTACATCCTTCTTCAGCATCATCGTCTCTATCGCGGCCCGAGCTGCTGCCCTCCTGGAAGAACCAGGCCGTTTGCTTGGTGTGTATTGGGTCTCTCTTGCTGGATGGACTGGACCCGAGTTTCTCACTGCGCTGCCTCTGGCGGGGGCAGCTGGTGCGCTGCGGATACCGGGGGCCAAGCAGGAATAAGTTGCTGCTCACTGTGGCTCTGGGGGTTTTGTTTCTGCACCAAGAGTCAATTCTCCCAGGCTGGAGCCTCTCTTCTCCCCCCCCCTTTATCCCCTGAACTGGATCGGAGCTGGGGCAGCGAGATCAACCCAAAAGAAAACCAGATGCGGCTCCACCACCTGGTACGGCTCTTCCTTCCCCACCTGTGTCCCTCCTGCGTTTTGCCTGGGAGCGGGGCCGGGCCAGGCTGCAGCGCGGTGACGGGACCAGCTGGGAGCGGCTGCGGGTTCTGAAAGTCAGTGATGGGTTGGGAGGAGTCTCAATGCAGGACCCGGGTTCCCCTGGGCTTCCGTCTCGTTCGGGTTGTGCCTGCCGGGGCTCGTCAGCCTCTGCCCTGCAGGGTGGGGACAAGCGTCACTTACTGAACTCTGGAACTCAGGGCACAAGGTCAGGGCTGACTGCTGGGCAAAGAGTCCTAGGCCTCTGTTCCATGGTAACTCTGCTATCCATGAGCCCAGGGACCACGTGGAAGGGGAGCAAAGCAGCCCTCCTGCCGAGACCCTGCATTGGCCGTCAGAGTGGCATGGCCGGGCTGGGGTAGCAGAGTCATGGGCTGAGGCTCAGGGCCTTGGTGGTGACATGGGGTGACATGCTGGGGGGGAGGTGCTGCCTAGGCTGGCCCGGTTCTCGAGGTCCTTACAGGGCTTTGGGGCCTGCTCTTTCTGGCTTCTTTCTCCAGACAATCAATTGCCATCCGTGGCTTACAGACGGGGTGCAGGGTGGACCCCTGGCTTCGGCGGGGGGAGGATGGGTGGTTGGGAAGACCCTTTCCCATGCCCATGGTGGTGACTGGCCTGCAGGGCACTGCATGCACAATGCTGTTGGTGGTATGGACTGTGAAAGGGGCCCTGGTACTTCAAACCTCTCTGTGCCCCATCAATGCAAGGCAGAGTTGGCCTCCAGGAGGCCCCCTGCCCCCACCCGCTTTGGTATTGCAAGGAGCCTGGGTGATCCCCCTCTCAGCTGGCTGCTTTAGTGACTGCGCATCTTCGCCCACGTGCCCCAGTGCGTGAGGGGGGGCCCGTGGACCGGGGCAGGGATGGGCCATGCAGCTTGCTGTGTTGCATAGAAACGGGGCCCAGCCGGTGCTAGGCCTGGCTTCGGCCCCTCGAGCCCCGGCTCTATGCTGCCCAGTGAAATGGAGGCGCAGGGGGAGAGGCGGCACCATGGATTCTGTCTGGGGAATGTTGCCCCCTCGGTCCAGCGGCTGGGCTGTTCTCCTGGCCTGCATGCGGGTTGTCATCTGGTCTGCACCAAGGCAGGTCACAAGGCCCCTCCTGGTACCCGGCTGCCTGCATGCAGCCAGCGCACTTTGCGCTCTGTTGCCATGGGGACAGAGGGAGGGGAGGTTTTCTACTGTGTCACCTGAGGCCAGCGTGGTCGGAGGCCAAGCCCCCAGCTCCCCTAATGGGGCCGTCCATCCCCGGCCCGATCAGGACCCTCAGCGACTCCAGGGCCGATTATTCACATACAATGCTCTGCCTGGCTGAGCGGAATTGCCACCTCCTCCCGGTGTTCCTGGGGGGTCCCCCAGGGAGCTGCCAGTCCTGCTCCAACTGTAGCCAGCCAGCCATTGGGGCCACGCGGCTGGAGGAAACACACTTTGCTGCAGCCTGCTCAGACGCGGAGCCCTTTCCACGACTCGCTGCTTGCCAGGAGGGAGGCAGCTGTAAATTCCTGCCCGGCTGCTGCGTCAGGTCAGGGTCAGCCGTGTCACCCAGAGAATGCCACTTTGCTGATCTTCCCTTGCTTCTCTGCTTACCTCCCCGTCCCCTGCCTCTCCTGGGGACCTCCCCTCGGGTGTCCCCTACCATCCCAGCTGTGACTTGTCTTCCTCTCGGTGGGGGAGGGGAGAGGTTGTGACCCGCCCCTCACCATAACCGTGCCGGCTGCTCCACGATACGGGGCCTGGCGGGTTGGTGCAATCCTGTCTCTTCTGTCTCCTTCCTTAAACGGGTTCGGGAAAAGCAACCAAAGGGCCTCCCCTCACGCCAGGGAGCTTGAGGTGAAACTCCTCCGCGTGCGTGGCGGTGGCAGGGCCCGCTCCAAAGAGGGCGGCTGGGTCCGTCGTGGCGTTGCCCGTGGGCACCGCGTTCTTTCCCGCTGCCCCTGTAACACGCGACCGTGATGCACTTTAATAGCGCGTGCTCCTGGACCGCGCTTCGCCATCGCCTTGGGGGGACACCAGGTTGCCTCTGGATGCCAGTTTGTGTGGCTCTGGGGCTTGGTGCCTCCTCTCTAGGTAGGGAAGGGCCGTGCGTTGTTTAGATCGTCAGGAGGCGAGTGTTACGGACGAGGACGGGTTCCCTGCCCCCTCCCGCTCCATTTTCCAGTCCTGTCCTTTCTTGAACGTTCCCACCGGTGGGTCCTAATCCACCAATGGGTCACGGCCAGCGTGTCCTCTAAGCCGGGCGCTTGTGCGGCCGCTCGAGAGATTCCAGTGCCACCCAGCTGATTAGCAGAGAG